CCAAGAGACCAAGATGGATATAAAAGAAGCCCAAACATTAATAGCCAGTGCATTTGCTAGTGTATACAACATCATATTAAAGCAACCACCAAGGCAGATGTGACCTACCAAGGACAATAAAATACTTAGAGTTTACAGCCAAGAAGGTGACACAAGCATGATATCTTGAAACTAAAACTTTTTACTATACATGTCGTCGAAGCCATTTTATGATTCTGGACAACCAAAACGTAGCTCTTAATTACTATTTCCATATCTACTGAATTTAATAATCAATAGGCAACAAGTAACAAATGGGGGCTTGGAGAAATGCTAATCTGTCTCACTGAGTTACAATGCTCTCTTGACTCTTCATTCACTCGAATTTTGGTAAACCAAAAAAAAAAAAAAAAAAAAACTGAAAAATACAAAGGATTAAGAAAGTAAAGGCAACAGCTACATCAACAGATCATGCAGAATAAATAAAATACAACAGCGGCATGATCCATCAACTTAGTGGACAATAGATAAGAAAACCTTAACTATAAAGTTCCACCATATAAAGAAGCCTGTGACGGCAGCATCCAAAATGAAATTTACCAAAGCAATCTTAAAAAAAAAAAAATAGAGTACTAAGCAGCACTGTCAAGTGATCATACAAACCACATATCTTTCTTCAAAATTAAGTCTGCACCACATCAAGCTTCACATCCTATTAGTATTAGGGATAAATGTTCTGTTCTCACTGTAAAGTGTTATGGTAAGTAGGTTCTAATCATGTTAGCAAAGACTGACAAAGCAATTGGAAAACGAATCTCACACTATAGGAAATCCGATCACTAGAGGTGCACAAACTTAAGTTAAATGGAGGATTGTATAAAACTAATTATGCAAGGTTATGGGGATTTGGGGCTTCGACCTAATGCAAAGCAAGTTAAAATGTAAGCCAAAGACTTGCCTAAACAGTGTAGTTGTTATTCATGTCACAAATCTTGAAAAGTAAAGCACAGAGTAAACTACAGCATTTCAATTACCTCTAAGCATTGCTCTTCAATCTCGTGTTTCAATTTGAGGACATACTCACTACTGACATCCAAATTATTCAAAACAGTGGCAATCTCCGTCCCAGTCTTTTGCACACCAACACCACCCAAAAACAGCTTTGCACCAAGATTGGGTTCTCTCATCTTCTGTTGCAAAGCCTCATGGTACTCATTGCTCAACAAGCTACTCGAGCCACTCAACACAGCAATCACAGAGCTGATATTCAAAGTGGATATTGCCCTCCGTAAGCAACTCTGCAAGACATAGAAAACATCGTCGACCATCGAAGTCGTGAGACTGTCAGGCACATGCTCATCAATTCTTATAGCCTTCCTCACATTCTCCACCATAAAGAAACCCTCTAATATGACATAAAACCCAGTAATTTCCTGAACCACCTTGCTAAAACTTCCACTCCTAAAAGCCTTAGTGGCTCTTGGTCCTAAATCCGGGTCAACATTCGTCAATCCCTTGACCTTAGACACCATGAACTCAGTATAATCCTCACCCAATTGCATCAAAGACAGTATCTCTTCCAAGAAGAGCTCAACCTCTCTAGGATCAGGCCCCTCAGACCCAACACCAACATCACCAACATTAAGCAAATTCTTGTTCTGGGCATTAATCTCAGAGCTCAACTTTGGCAATCTCCTATACTCCATGTACTTCTTCAAAATCAAACTACCCCTCGTATCACACTCCTCTTGAAGTTCACAAATGGCGTAAACAACCCCATCTTCCCCACAAAGCCCTCTCAGAATCTCATCATTATCTTCAACAGCTAAAACAATGTCCTTGAACAAATTGGTCAAACACCCAACAAAATTGACCGTCTGGATTGGATTGTTCTGCTCCATAAGCTCCACCAAGTGCTCGAATTCAAGCCTGGATCTCATCCCAATCACCTTCCTCAAATACCCCACGTAAACCTGCAAGCCCTCCGTCTCCAAACCCAGCGGAGTGTAAAGCCTGATAAATCTCAACACGGTAGGATGCTCCCTCTGGTCCACAGCCTCAGAGAGCTTCTTCCTGACTATCGATTCGAGCTGCCGCTTCGACTCCATAAGCTGCTCTCGCTGCTCGGAGCCCGAGTCCCTGTACTCCGAGTCAATCTGAATAAACCGCTGCACGTACTTGGCGGCAGACTCGTAGACCTGGGTGTCGAGGGCTTGCTTGACGCCGTCGATGCAGTTTCCGAGCTCGACGATGGCGTCCAGGCGGAGGAGCGTGGACTTGACGCGCGATTGGGCGAGGTCGAGCTCGCGGACCTTGGCGCTGACGTGGTCGGCGAGGTCGCACGTGGAGGTGACGTTGGCGAGCACGTGATCGGAGTCAGCTTTGACGATGTCGAGGACCGTTGCGGACCTGTGGAGGCTCAGGAGCTGCTTGTCGAGGTCGGTGCGCTGGGAGAGGAGGTTGTCGAGGTCCAAATCTAAGGATCGCTGGTAGGCTATGCACTCGTGGAGGAGGCGAGTCATTGCCCCCACATCCGTCAGGGCTCGCACGTGCGAGAGCGCCTCTTGGGTCCCGAATTTTATCGACGGTTGATCCGGCTCCATTGCCTCTCTCTCTTTCTCGCGGGTTTGAAGATCTGTGTGCGCGGGTGGTTCAGTTGGACTGTCGGAGATGGAGGAGAGGAGGGGAAGCACAAAAATACCAAATGAAATTACAAATATGTCCCTGTAATTTCGCTCCAATTTTACCACGATTCTTATTTTAATCTTTGATCAATTTTAGATTTTTCGTAAGGATTAATTAAGGACTTCTAGTCCTCGTCGTCCACTGAACATAAAATTCTTGCGAAGTGTCATGCCCATGCGCTCAAGTTCGACTTCTTGTGAATTTTCCCTTCCTCCATTGATAAAAATGCAAAATAATAATAATAATAATAATTGTGAATCTTACAATTAGAGTGGGTGTTAGTGTAATTTTCAGAATCTTAGAGAGTTTTGTAAAATCACGAAAAAACATCACGGAGTATTAGTATAAATAACTCAAATTCGGGACAATCAATCAAAAGACTACGAACAAATGAGTTTCATAATTATACGTATGTTGACACCTATCAAAGGACTAAAAATCAATGTTTAATTTTACACAAGGGTTGAATGGAAATTTAATCTTATACAAGGACTCAAATTGAAATTATTATATGTACACAAATTTGGAATATCTAGCATTATTGTACATACATAAAATTCACATTATTGAATTAAATACAAATATTGAATGATGAATATGATATGAAGTTTTCAATACTACTTAAGGAAACTTTTGAACCAGTACATCGAGAGTTTTTGGCATCTTTTAAGCCTATTGTTGTAATCTATATAGGTGATACCAAATCGAACACTGAATCCCAAACTCCATTCAAAGTTGTCTAACAAAGTCCACGGAAAGAATCCCTTCACTTTGACACCATTGCTAAAAAAAGAAGAAGAGGAAATTATATATATTAATGTCAATAATATGAATCAATAACTCAAAATCTAAAGCTAAACCATATACATACATATATATATTTAAATATTATAAATGAATTTGTTAATACACTTACTCAACAGAACTTTGAACATAATAAAGGTGGCGATTGTAGTAGTCAATTCTATGCGTACGTCAAGTGATAATTTCGGATCATTGAACTCATCCACACCTACAATATAATATATCATTATGTAGTTTTAAATTTAGACTTTGTACCACTTGTGTGTGTTTCGCACCAAATATGTGAAACATTGATCATGCAATTACTTAAGGCTAGAATTTTTTTATTACCATTTTCGGTAATGTAAATGATTGGATTGTGATACTTTTTCTTTGTGTAGAGTAAAAGATCTTGAATTCTTCATGGATAAACATTTAACCATTCCAAAGCACCCTGCACCAAACTTTGAAGATTTTTAGATTTTTAAGAGTCACATTTGTAAATGCAAAACAATTAATGGTTGAAATCATAAAGCTTGAGCTAGTAATTTGATGTGTACCTTTGAACCGATGGGGACTCCATTACGCTTAGCTGTCACAACACATATGAATATCAGAATTTAATTAGTTTATAAACTTAAATTGCTTGAATTAAAATTTGAATTTGTACTCACATGAAAGGTTAATGCCAGCATCTGTTGTGTAGCTTGCGTATATAGAGTTATTTTGAGGTCCATCGCTTGCATAGTAACCAGCATAGTAATTTAGTCCAAGAAAATCAAATGAACCAATTAGCAACTTGGATTGTTCTTTCGTGAATTTTGGTAATCGGTTTCCGACAAGAGATCGCATGCTTTGCGGATGGTCACCACTTGTCAATGGCTCAGCCAACCTAGAAGAATGTAAAAATTTCAAGCATTAACTTGACATTATATTATGTATTGCTTGATAGTAAGTAGTAAATATTATATTCATAAGCAAATTCGAAATACACTTTCCATCCGAACATAAAATCCAAAGTTCGTAATGCAGCATTTTTATTTTCTTTTTCTTCCGATAGGGGCTCAAACCAATGTGAATTAAGTGTTATCCCTATCACTCCATTTTGAGACAGCTGCACAAGAATATTTAGTTTGTTTGTTTTAGAGTCACAAAAAGGTAAAGTAGTCGCTCTCTTGTTGCAACAAACTAATTAATTGTACTTGCTATCTATTTTTGTACAATTTTATGGCAGCTGCATGAGCAAGGAGCTAGTGGTTTAAGGTGGGATGACTCACCATTGCGTAAGAGCTCATTGATGAGATTGTTGTAATATTTGATTCCTTCCTTGTTTACTCCTCCACTTAATTTTCCATCTAATAATTAAAACAAAACAAGAAAATAAAGAAATAAGTACACCGATAAAATTTAAACTGAACCTTTAAAAAGCTGAACTTCGACTTCTATTTAATTTATCCTTGAAAACATATTTATTTTTGCTTCAGTTATTTCAATTAAGTATGAAACAAATTTTTTGTTATATTATTCAGTAGACAACGTGGACACATTACTTAAGCGAAAACCATGAAGGCAGAAATATTGACGATTGGTCACAAATGAACTTACTTGGTAACAATCTTGACCATGAGATAGAGAATTATAAATATCAAATGCTGTTTCTGTTTACTTGGCAGCTCTGAGTGGAGAAACTAATTGAGTTTTGACTCCTTGTTGTTTTTGTTTTTAATGGACAATTATAAATATCAAATGCTGGTCTCCATGTTATGACTTCGGGATATAAATTTTTATTCCTTAATGCAAGACCACAATATTTGTATGATGTATACTTTTCGCTTTTGATGATTTAGGTACCAAGCTCAGCTTCAAAAGAATCTGATGTATTTAGCAGGTATTGCTGATGCACAACCACAGGCACCAACGGTGCCTGCTCAGGTGGGTAGTAAGCATGCCTTGATGGTTTGCCGATTCACCTTTTTATCCATGTTTATCATCTTTGTTTCAACACTTGGCAGATGGCCCCACATCCTGCTATGCAACAAGCAGGATATTACATGCAACATTCTCAGGCAGCAGCAATGGCTCAGCAACAGGGTATTTTCCCCCCAAAGATGCCATTGCATTTTAATAACCCGCACCAAATGCATGATGCAGCACAGCAGCTACACCAGCAGCACCAACAAGCCATGCAAGGGCAAATGGGAATGAGAGCTGGAGGGGCCAATGGCATGCCTTCCATGCATCATACTGAAGCCACACTTGGTGGTGGTAGTGGTGGCCCAACTTCAGCTGGAGGGGGTCCAAACGATGGGCGTGCAGGAAGCAAGCAAGACAACTCAGAGGCTGGGACAGGTGGTGATGGCCAGGGGAGCTCAGCCGGCGGGCACGGCAATGGTGATGGAGAAGATGGAAAGTGACATGTTCTTATGGATGATTCCACATGGAAACATGTGCCTGTTGATAGTAGGTGTTTTCCTAAAGTAGCTGCTTTGCTCAGTGATCTTTGACAGATTGCAAACAGCAGCGAAAGTTCTCCTTAGTATTTAAAGTGATTAGGTAGGTGAGTCGTGTTGTAAGTTCCTTTGCATGGAATGGATCCTCGCATCAGATGAAACAAGTGGTGAAAGAAAAGACAGACTTGGTTCTAAGGGCTCTTAGAGATGGAAACATGTGTACTTGGATGTCTGTCAATTTGTAACTCATAAATGCGTGCATCATGGGCCACAAATTCTGATCCTATTACAAGTTTTGCTGGTAGTTTGTTTTCCTGTTGGTATGTGTATGAACTCTTCTTAGCAATTTGTAACTCATAGATGGCCGTTGAAGGTTTTGTATTGCCTCGCCGGTTTGTCAACTGGGCGCGTTCTCATTTGCAATGTCCAAAAGGATCGATTAGAATTCAATTTTCAAGTTTTATATTAAAAATGAGTCTAGCCGGTCGGCTTTACTGGGTTCAGTATAGCCGTTCGGCTATATTAATATATTTAAAGGGTATAGCCGCTATACTGTTTGGACACGTTTTGCAGAATCATTTGGCTGGCGCTAGGCGCAAGTCGGGTCCCTTATTGACACGTGGCACCGAATAACTAGGCTTAGGCCGGTCCACCTTTTTTATAAATAGTATAGCTGTACGGCTATACTCGGGTTTAAAAAAAAAAATAGTATATAGCTTTAGGGGGGTCTTTTTGGCTTTATATTTTTTATAAATAGTATAGCCGGACGGCTATACGCTTTCCATAGATACTAGGGGTGGTTGCGGTTCGGTAACCATGAATTTTTACTCAAACTGCAAACCGACCGACTATTTGCAGTTTGGTGATTTTTGAAACCCCAAACCGACTGCGTTTTGCGGTAAACCGCAAAATGCGGTCGGTTACCACGAATTAGCGGTTTAAAACCGCAAGTTCTCAAGCATTCACAAAAATAGAAATTCACAACCTAAATAAATAAATACACAACCTCAATTTCTCAAGCATATATAAATTCACAATCTCCTAAACTTCTCAAGCATTCACAACCTAATAAAATTAAAGTTACAATTCCAAGCATTCTAATTAAGTTAAACTTCTCAAGCATTCTAATTCTAAATCTTTTAAAGTTACAAACCAAAAGGAAAATGTAAAGCAAAATGAATTAAAGTTACAACCAAAAAGAAAAATCCAATTCAAAGTTAATTAAAGTTACAAACTAAAAGGAAAATGCAATGCACCAATGTTACAAATTAAAGTTACAAGCTCAAGTGTTGCTGGTGAGTGGATTTGAAGAACCCCGTTGTGTTGTTTGAGCACCAATGTTATTTACAAATAAAACAACATAGTTTAGTACATTTTATTATAAGAAGCATAAATAACATTAGCATAAATAAACTAATTACTTACAAGTTGTCATATGTTCCATTTCCTTGTAGAATTCAACCTCATCATCCGTGCGGCTATACTTTACGGTTTGCAGTAACCGCAAGTTTTGAAAATCAAATACCGCAACCGCAAATGCGGTTCAGTTTACCGCAATTGTAGTTTCATTGCGGTAAATTGTCGGTTGGTTTTTGCGATTTTTCAGTTTAAAATGCCACCCTTAATAGATACTGTGATTTTTTAAATAATTTTTTTAGGTTTTTTTATTTAGTATAGCCGTGCGGCTATATTCGGAATTTGAAAAAAAAAAATAAGTATAGCCAATCGGCTTTACTGTTATTTATTTATTTATTTTAGTAATGTTTTCAGGATACATTTGGCTTTGTGATCCTGATTATTGTATAGCAGTGGACCTGAGTCAGCTGAAATGAAAATTTCTTCTCCTGCAGAAGCGTCTAATAAACCTGATGTAACTGAAAAGAAAATTGGCTCTCTTGCAGAAGCATCCAACTCTGGAAAGAAAACCCCAAGATCATTGAAGGGCAAAGCTAAAATAGTGAAGAAAACTCCATTCATAACAGCTTGAAAACGAGCAAAGGTACAACTAGCTCACAGGTTAATGGGAGGAAACGGAGGCGGAATAGGGGTAACAACAAGAGTAGCAACAAAAGAGAAGAAGATGCCAAGAAGATGAATTCAAAAAGAGAGAAACAAGAGAATATCACGAATCGAGAAGAGCATGCCGAGAATGAAGACAGGTGTCCATTGACTAAGTTGTTGACTACAGCTGGCATTGTAACTAATAGCACGTGGTTAAGATTCCAATATAGTTAGATGGTTAATAGTCTGTTTAGTGTTGTGTTAATAGCTTAAGTGTATCCAATTCATACTTATAAAGACTTTTTTTTAAACGAGTGACTTTTATAGAGTTGACAAATTCTTAAATACTCTCATAGAGTTGATAAAAGTCACTAGTAAATTGGCAAGACTTTTGCTCTTAACAATTAGCCTTAAAAGTATGGAAAAGTCATTCATTTAATAAGCTTTTTAAAAGTCATTAACCTTTTAGATACCATCAAACTTTTAAATACTTTTTAAAAGTCATAACTGAATACCACCGAACTTTTAAATACTTTTTAAAAGTCACAATTGAATACCATTAGACTTTTATATACTCTTTAAAAGTCTAAATTGAATACCTTCAGACTTTTAAACTCTATAAAAGTCATAAAAGTTTGAATTTGATACACCTCCTAAGTCTCTCTGTAATAGGATTCATTCTGTATATTCTGAGAATTAGAGCAATCAATCTAGAGGTTTTCCTATTCTTTCTTTGCTTACTTTCTTCTTCATTCTTGCAATGGTTATCATGGTATCAGAGCTTCGGCTCGAAGATTCTTAGCTTCCGCTACTACGCCTCATCTCCTGAAGCACTTGCCAGATGAAATCACAATTCATATCACAGATCTTGAACGTGCGTTCGATTCTAGCAGAGCTCTTTGCAAGGCTTGTGATCTCTCTATTTTTCTGGTTCTAAACGCTTCGAGTTTTCATCATACTGGTGCTTTTGTGGTATGTCTTCATATTTCTGCGTTCTTTTTCTTTCAATTGAAGCACGACGTATATCTTTTGCTGATTCTTGAAGGTGAATTGACATCTTCAACGTGTTAATTCATAAGGACAAAGCATGAAATTTGTAAGCACGAAGCATGAAATTTGTAAGCACGAAGCATGGAATTTGTTTATTCTTGCTGTGACTTCTAGTGAATTCTTCGAATTGTGAATTTTCTTGGTTACATTGTACAATGCTTTGAGCACGAAGCGTAGATTTTCATACGAGCACAAGTTCATCCAGTCTCAATTTCTACAAATTCTGACGATCCTGTGATTCTCAAAACATTTCGTTTTCCAGTATTCATCATGTCATCGTCTGTTCCTAAAATTGAGGGTTTACTGGGAGTGCTTACCATTAAGCTTTCAGAAGACAATTATGTTAAATGGAGCTATCAAATACAATCAGTCTTACAAGGATATGATCTTTATGGACATTTTGATGGCACTACTTCCTGCCCACCTAAGTATGTTGTCACTGAATCTGAGGGTGTTACTTGTGACCTAACTACTGCATATAAACATTGGCTTCAAGTTGATAAGGCATTATTGAGTCTTCTAATAGCTACTCTATCGGATGAAGCTATTGAGTATATCGTGGGCTGCAAGTCTGCTAGAGAGGCATGGTTGAATTTGGTAGATAGATATGCCTCAGTCTCACGTGCAAGGGTTACTCAACTCAAAACAGAATTACACACTATTCACAAAGGGGGTGACTCTGTGGAAAAGTATCTTCTCAGATTGAAGCACATTAGAGATCAACTTTCTGCAGCAGGGATTCCTTTGTCAGATGATGACATTATCATAGCTGCCTTAAATGGTTTGCCTCAAGAATTTGATATGATTAAGACAGTGCTATTTGCTATAGAGACTCCAATCTCTTTGAAGGAATTTCGAGCTCATCTCTTGTCAGCTGAAAGGAATATTGAGTCAAGACTTCAAGCTATGTCTCATTCTATGACTGGTTTTGTAGGCTCTACTACTTATGAGTATGGCTCCTCATCACAGGCTTCATCATCTTCTAATGTTGTTCCTAGTCCTACCATTGGTCCTATCCGTGCTCCTAGTCCTACAGTTGGTCATATCAGTGCTCAGCCTCACACTACTTCAGTTGTTGGTTTTGCTGGATTTAAGACTCCACCACCTGCCCATACTTATGGATCCTCAGGTTCTGTTCAGTCTCACGGTTCTTTTTCAGCTCCACCTCCTGTTTCTCAATTCAATGGTTATTCTTCTAGAGGCCGAGATTCAAATGGCAGGTTCCATTCTACATCAAATGGAGGTTTTGGTCCTAGATTTTCCTCAGGTCCTAAGACACAAGCTATACCTGAATGTCAAATTTTTAGTAAAAGAGGACACACGGCTCCTAATTGCTACTATAGAGTTCCAGATGCATCCTCACCTTCTATTGTGGAATGTCAAATTTGTGGGAACCTACTGGTCTTCATATGTGTCATGTTAAACGCATCCTTAGATATCTCAAAGGCACACTTCATCATGGTATTACCTATTCCCAAGGTTCAATGGTTGTTATAGGTTTTTGTGAAAATCAGATTGGCCCACGTGTGAAAGCCCAACGGCCACAAGTGCTCCATGTCACCCAAAATGTGTTGTCTACGTGTTAGGCTTGAAAATTCGCCACACGTGCGGGGGCGTGTGAGAATGTGAAGGTAAAAAGTCCCACATTGAAAAGTTAGAAAACCTTGCAAGGGCTTATTAAGAGTTGGGCTACTCCCCCCATTGCCAATTGGTTTTGGGGTGGAACCTCAACTTCCTTCATGGTATCAAAGCTGGTTAGCCCACGTGTGAAAGCTCAACGACCACACGTGCTCCACGTGTGAAAGCTCAACGACCACACGTGCTCCACGTCACCCAACATGTGTTGTCCCACATTCTCACACGCCCCCGCACGTATAGCGAATTTTCAAGCCGAACACGTGAACAACACATTTTGGGTGACGTGAAGCACGTGTGGCTGTTGGGCTTTCACACGTGGGCTAACTCGCTCTGATACCATGAAGGAAGTTGAGGTTCCACCCAAAAACTAATTGGCAATGGGAGTAGTAGCCCAACTCCTTATAAGCCCTTGCTAGGTTTCTTAACTTTTCAATGTGGGACAAATACTCTCAACACGAGTAGCCGCATTGTGGAGTCTCCTACTAGCCGTTTGGGTCAAATTGTGCAAAGAAATTTGACACAGAATAGTTTTCTTCACAATAGTATGTGATTATCTTTTCTTCACAATATAATATTTGGTGCATATGTGTGAGTAGCCGCTAAGTCTGATTGAGTCTCCTAATAGCCATTTGGGTCAAACTGTGAAAAGAAATTTGACATAGAATTGCTTTATTACAAATTTATAAATAAACCCAATCCTAGACATGTATTTA